TAACTTTAAAACGGGATAAAGTAAATGACTTTACGATTTTTTTTACCGAGATATGAGATTTTAAAATGTTTTTGTCATTTATAGTGAAAACGAAATTATTGCGAATTCGAAAATTATTTAGTATTTAATATTAGTTTTTTGCTACTTTCATATTCGGATTTATTAAGGTTTTTATTTAAAACATTATTACAAACAAGAACATTATTTATAAATTTGCAATAACAATTTTATAAAACGACTCAAGAAATTTTTAAGAAATTTAAATTCATTTTGCCACTTATTTTAATACAAAATTTAAACTTTTCTCAACTGTGATAAATATAAACTTATGCGAACCTTATGTAACAAATAAATATTTGATAGCTAACAAATTTTCAATAGAAAATAGTCAATAGGTTGATCTCCTTAAGCTGATGAATAAATACTAAATAAATTTTCGAATTCACAATGATTTCGGTTTCACTATAAATGACAAAAAATTTTCAAAATCAAAATCATAAAGTCATTTACTTTAGCGCGTTTTAAGTCAGTGACTTGTACTTTAATGTGCAAATAATAATTTTTATTCAAAAAATTTTGTTACAAAGTAGCAACTTGTTAGACTTGACATTTTTTAAAAAAAAAATTGCTTCATTCAAATGTGCAAATTTTTGCACAAAATTGAGATAAATTGAATTAGACACTTTGTTATGACACTTTGAGAAGTGACAATTTTTTAGAAATTTTAAGTGTCCCTAATAATTTGGAAGGGTACTGTATATTTATATTTATATATAGAATAGTAATGGAACTATAATGCCAGAAAATCGAGCAATAAACTGGTTACTTGCATAGATTACTTAAGTTGCTATTTTTAAAAATTGCATAAAATTTCGAAAACATGGAGTAAATATTAATGGAGATATAGACATTATTGTGAAAAATATATATTTTTTTCTTTGCGTCTTTTTGATATAACTTCATAAATATTCAATGATATCTAACAAAATTTTCGGAGCAATTTAAATTAAATACAAAATTATTGACTTAACATTTAGAAGAAAATTGTCAAAAGCTGCATAAGATATAAGTATTTAAGTTATTTCTTTTATACAGCACATGCGCAGAAAAAATTAAAAAAAAATTTTTTCATAATTTTGTAGTAATCGTACTTAACAACTAATGAAAAATATTAAATTTGAATATCTAAAAAATTTCAAAATTTTTAAGCAATTTTCTAAGTAATTTTTTACTTTTTAAAAGAAAGCTCGAAACAATCAGGGTTTCTCCACAAATTTAATTTTGTCACATAAGACAAAATCAATAACAAATGATAATATCTTACGGTCATCATTCGGAAACCTAAATATGATTGTATAAGGAAAGAAAGCATACTTTTTTGGGGGATGATCTTCGAAAATGATCAGCCTAATTTTAATAAATTATGATTAACAGTACAAAATGAAATTTGTTTAAAACCCCTTATCATTGCAAGCTTTCTACTAAAAAGTGCAAAAACTGCTTAAAAAATTGCTGGAAACTTTTTAAATTTTTAAGATATTGAAATGCTTCATTAGTTGCTAAATACAATTCAATACAAAATTAAGAAAAAAAAAATTTTTTTCTGCACATACACATTGTAACAGAATTACTTTAAACACTCATATCTTGCTCAGTTTTAACGACTTTTTTTAAATTTGAAATAAATAATTTTAGTAATTAATTCTTAAATGCTCCAATTTTTCTTAAAGTTCTATTGAATGTTTTTAAAGTTATAGCAAAAAACGTAAGACAAAAGAAAATAGTTTCTTATAAAAATGTCCATATCTCCATTAATATTTATGCTAGGTTCGCAAGATTTTATGCAGTCATTAAAAATAACTACTTAAGTAATTGATACAAGTTATAAACTTATTGCTTGACTTTCTGGCATAAAGTGTTTAACTTTACTTGTTTTCTTTCGTAATTAATTATGGGTCTCCCAATTTTGAAAGCTTTAAATCTTATTGCTAAGTATGACAAATCAGATGAAATAAACGCCTCTAAAGTTACAAAATAATCTTTTAAGCATTTCCTGCGAAATTTAAAAAAAAATTCAAAAGCGGAAAGTGTTTCTTCCATTATTGTAGGGTAGTGTATAGGGGTTGAACCAAATAATGGAAATATTTTGATACTAACACATTTTTTTATATTTCTCAAAACACACGCACACAAACTTAGACTATTATTTAAAAACTTATATATTAACTTATTAAAGTTTAAAGCTTTCAAAGGCTTGACGGACCGGAAATAAATTAAGAAAGAAAAAAATATTTTTGAACACCCCATGAAAAAAATTATAGCAATGAGCTTGTAACTTGCATCGATTGCTTTGATTATTATATGCAATAATGACATAAAATTTCGTAAGCGTAGCTTAAATATTCATAAAGACAAGGACATTTTTATGAAAAAAAATATTTTTGATTTACATTATTTTACTATAACTTATGAAATATTCAATAAAATTACACAAAATTTTCAGAGTAAGTTTCAATTAATAACAGAAATATAAATTTATACTTTGAGATGAATTCGCTGAAAATTTCTCACAATATGAGTATTTAAAATAAGTCTTTCATACTCCGCATGCGAAGGAAATAATAATTTTTTTTCATAATTTTATTGTGAATCATAATTGGTAGCTTAAAAAAATACGATTTTAATATCTTGAAAATTCAAAACGTTGCTAGCAATTTTTTAAGTATCTTTTGCACCTATCTTAAGAGAGCTCCAAATCATTTTGTATCTTTTAAAAAAATAACTACAAATGATAATATTCTACAATGTCCATGGATTTGACTACAGCTTGCAATCTTCATGGAATAGATAAATTCAATTCTTGTATGCCTTCCAAGGGAATCTTGTACCATTCTTCCTGCAAAACGTTGACAGGTTTTGCTAGCGACAATGGCGGTGGACAATGACCACGCACTTTTATCATCAATGTGGACCACAAAGGTTCAATAATATCGATATCTGGTGAATGTGGTAGTCAAGGAAAGATGTGATAGATCAGAAAACAATTCCTGGACAATATAAGCTGCGTGAACGAGAGCATTGTCATTTTGGAAAACACCGTCACAGTTAGGGAGCAAAGTTTGTATCATGGGATGAATTTGAAAGGCCAAAACTTTGATCACAAAATTGCTGCCCAAACATCACAAATCCCCTGCCAAGTTTCTCACTGGGCAACAAATATCCTGTATCATAGGCTTGGATTGGCGTTCGCCATACGTAACATTGCTCAGAAGTAGGAAACAGTGTAAAACAAGATTCATCTGAAAATAGAACAGTCTACTACTGCTTCATGCTCCAGGTTGAATGACTCAAACACCTCTTTTTCCTGTTACTAGCATTTTTATGACTGATAAAAGGTATTGAAATAACCTCTTGGTCAGAAATACCTTGCTTATGAAGGTCTCTTCTGATTGTTTTAGTGCTTACAGAATTTTTGAGCAGGGCATCAATTTCAGTAGTAACTTTGGCAGCTGTGGTGTTTTTATCGCAATTCTTCTTAATAATTGTCTGCCACAATAACTTAACTCACGCTTTTGTTCACTCTGTGATTTCGAATATGTGGAATAAATCTTCGCCTTGAAACACAGAACATCTCTACAACCTTATTTATTGAAGCATCCACCATACACGCTGCAACAATTTGCCCAATCTCGAAGTCTGTTAGTTCTGACATAATGCTATTGCAACTTCACTCAGAACAGTACACCGACAATTAAAGATCTACACAGCGTATTTAAATTCCTTGTATATATTTACGTTTTCACGCAGAAATACCAACTCCACCTACACATTTCATAGCAATAAACATTTCATTACAGACCTGGTGGAAGAGCAACCAGCGTGCCTTACTGCGAAACCAATGGTTGAGGGTTCGAATACTGATCTGGACATGGATGTTTCTCTTTGGGTGCTGTTTTCTGTCGTGTGATATGTGAAAGTGGATCTTATGTGTATCTTATATTGGTCTAATTAATTAAAATATTTGTGTTATTGAATAACAAAATTTGTGCTAGATGCTCTGCTCTAATTAATGCAAAAGAACGTTCTTGGTTTTTCACTACGACAGGAAATTTCCTGATCCTCCTGAAGTGCAACATTCTCTATTGTTCTTGAGGAGATAATTTTTCAAACCTGTTTCCTCAAATTTTGCAAACATTAATTGAAGACATTAACTTTTAAAGTCAATGGACTTATCCACATTCTCTCAAAAGGCTGACTTGTCGTGGAGCAATGGCTGCTTAATTATCGTTATGGTAAAAAAAAATATTAACCCCTTAACGATCGGTTACTTTTCAAGAAAACTGTCATAAAAGTGCCTATTTTTTTGTCTTTTATATTTGTATTACGTATTTGATTAGTGCTGCAACTAGTTTAAAATAAACTAACTATCTACAATTACCTTAAAAATATCCTGTTACTGCCATCAGGTGTGTAAAATGAGAAATAATTTTTTTTCCGGGCAAAAGAAATGAATTAGTTTTAGTCTTATTGGCGTGTTACTACTGAACACTCCATCCCGACAATATCACGGGAGCGAGAAATAGCGGGCGAACTCTCACCCCGTCATTTTCACGGGAGCGAGAAGGAAGAGGTTAACAAAGCTAAATCTAGTAAATATAAGGACATTCTGATCAAGACTATACACAAAATCTCTTCGTTTCCGTTTATTTGAATCTTTTGTTCGAAATTTAGTTATTGAACAAATTTTAGGTCAGGTGCAAGTATAGAATAACCACCCATAAGAAGTCCTAAGAAAATTTTAATAAAACAACGAAATACGCCACTTGAATATCGGAAATTATGCCTGTATTAAGCTCGTGCATGCTGTTTGCTTGTTAGTGCTGAGGTTCTTTAGTTATGTACACGAACTTGCCAACTCCAACTAATCATTATAATGTTTTAATTTTCTCGTGTTAACTGTCAAATTGACTGTTTTTTGTGTAATATTCTGTTCTGCGAGTGTGTCAGGTGGCAGATGTTGTCGATAGTGAAGTCAACAGTGTTTTGAATGCTTTTAACAAAGTTTTTTTAACGCTTAAAAGGTAATGTACTTTAATTAATTATTGGAACGTACGATAAAAAGGATTGATTGAATAAATTATTCTTATCCGACATTTTGAGTAAGTTTCTCTCTCAGAAAGCTTATAAACTATTATTAATTTTGATAATTTAATTGATTTTTGAAGATATGTCATGATTTATTTTTTTCTGTTAAATATTCTTATTAACTAATTTAATTATTGTAGATTTGAACACATTTGGGTCTGTTATTCGATTACTTTAACTCGTTGTTTCACATCTAATTAAATTTGTAGTTTTATATTTACAAGTTTTCTATGCCTTTCCCCATTTTTACCATGCATTACATAATCTTTGCAATTTATTCAATCATTAAACTAGTTAGTATATTAATAGAATTTCTTTCAAATGCGAATAGGGTTTTTAAATTTCAATTTAAGTTTTTGGGCTTTATGTTTTAAATAAACCTTTTTAGATTTCCTACGAGGAATATTTTTAGAAATCAAGTTTTGAATAAAAGTGATTTCACTAAATATTTAAAAAAAATCTCAATTTCTGTTCCAGAAATAAATTTTATTAATTTCAAGGTGTATTCGTTTTTCCTATTTAAGTATTTTTTCATGAGTAAACTTTAACTTTCTTAGCAATAACATAGATTTTATAAATTAACCTCTTTACTTTCTCCAGTAAATCTATTTATTTGCGTAATATATATAATAAAACTGATTGAAATTTATTCTGAAAATGTATCTTTTTATTTCACTTTTAACCGTTACATTTGTAAGTTTTGAAACAAAAATATTCCTTAACTATTAAAATGGTTTAAGAAAAAAATTTTATATAATTTTTTACTCGAAAGATATATCAATTATTGATTATATACAGATACTTTTCGAATTTTTGTTTGCTCTGTTTTTGTTTGAGTTTTTTTGAGTTTTGAATTTTTGTTTGAGTTTTTATAAGTGGGAATGCATATACAGCATCTATTTAATAGTAAAAAATCGCATATCAATAAAGAGATTTTTTGATCCTAATGATTTCTCTTTTAGCTGCAGAATTTTGTTAACGTTTTCCAATTTAATATTTGAAGTTTTATTGATTTATAATATCCACTTTTTGGCACTCAAATGACATCTAAAAATTTGCTTTTACATGATCATAGAGCGCATTATATTAGGACTGTAAACTAATATTGTTTTTTTTTTGGCTAAATTCAAATAGATATGTTTCGTTTTCAATCAATGGGTAATCTGTGAGCAAATTTTCTATGGTATCCATAAAATAAATAATTTTTTGAAGAAAAAAATACATGTAGATGGTATTTTAAACACCATTCAATTTTTTTTTGTTATTTAGAAAATATTGTAGTGATCGTTATAAATGGTGAGAAAATTTTGCAGTTATCAAGATAAATGAAAGTCCGATGGCACAATATTAAATCAGTGTGGTGGGCGAAGCAAAGCGTACCACCCTAGATCATAAATTTTTACAGGATTTGTTCTTTCCAATCTATACAAGCTGGAAAGATCGAAATTACTGGATTTAGATTTAGAAAACAACTTGTGGCATTTACGAAAGCATAATGTCTTTGGATGTTTTGGGGAGCAACTTTGAGAGGCATCCTAGTAAAACTCCAAAATGCCTCTCGTTATTTGACTAGCCATTTTGGCATAAACTGTGAAAAAATATTAATAAATATTTATTCGAGTGCAAATAGATACTCTTTTAAAAACTGATTAATAGGTAAAGTTTAATTCAAAGCTTGCGTAAAATAACTTTTAATGCAAATTTTTATTTCTCATAGTTACAGTTATAGAATATACTTAATAGTATTATTATATATGCTACCGTGAATGACCAAAATCAAGAGAATGTAGACTTTCACTGAAGAATGTCAACAATCACTTTGTCACTTTGATGAATGTTCAAAATATTTGTTATGTCAAATTTGATATTAATTTATTCTTTGATGTTATTCATATCTATTCGATATTTTAATATCCGCTGAGGATTGATTAGGAGAAACATCAGAGTTTGGGGTACCGGTTAAATGCATACCGGGAAGTGGCACTTAACTTTGAAAAACATCAGTGTAGGGTATACCGGGGAAATTTATACCGGGTAGTGGCATTGAACCTTAAAAAAACACTAATGTAGGGCATACCGGGCAGCGGAACTTAACTAGACCTAGTATATATTTCTGATATTTACCAAAGCGACAATGTGATTTCAACATTCACCGTTGGAAATCATCAACCACCAATTTTGGTCATTCACAGTAACATATAATGTATTAATTAACAAAAGTTTCTCATGAGGTTAATTTTGTGATTAGTAAAAAATGACAAAAATTATAAAATGTTTTTATTTTTGTGCAATATATTTTTAAAAAATATCGCCTGCTATTAAAGCATTATCGCAACACATTTAATGTAATTATTAGAATTCAGAAAAATTATGGAGTGGCCTAAGTCTGAAAAATTTCATTAAATAATGTAAAGTGAGTATAGTACTTTCCATAAACTTCAAATTAATCCTTGTACATTAGTGATTTTTTTAAAAAGTATTGAATTTCATTAGAATAAACGTATACTTTAAATTCGGGCCTAATTCGTTCAACGACTCAAATCAAATTGGGCTTAAATTCATAAAATTGTTAAAGTGATTTATTTTCCGGGGCCTTTTCTTTAGTTTCTTTTCGGTCCTTTTTTTCTTTTTCCAGAGGTTTTTTTCGAGTTTTGTTTGGTGTATTTTTTTCTAAGCACATTTTCCATTTAACATTTGCTACTGTGAGGAGGTTGAAGATGTATACAACACTGAAGTATACTTCAGATTGCGGTTGTATTTTCAGTATGTAGAGACTTTATTAATTTTGAGCTATATATTTCCATACAATATATCTGCGATGTGACTTAATCTTTTTTCGCAGCTAATGATTTGTTTATGAGTACTTAATTTTATAGTAAGGGGTCTTAGTGAAATATAAATGATAAAAGAAATATTTCTGAAAAGCTGTGAGTGATAGAGACAAATGGTTTGCATATTTTGAATCAGCGCAGTTTAATTTTCATGCATATTTTAATATTGGATACAAGGATTTCTGCAACTTGTTAAGATTTGTTTATCAGTGTCACTAATTTTGATTTTTAATAAGGTTAAATAATTTATTTTTCCACTTTTTTTAAATTAAATAATCAAATATTGAGCCATATTGGAATAGTGGTCCACAAAACGAGCTATGTATAGCTCGTATATAAAATTCTATATATAAACACATAATAGAATTAGAAAAAAAAAGAAAAGAAATTTTAATGGGAAAATGCAAATTTTCTCATCAGAACGCATTTCTTTACGATGGCGAGTAGAGAAATTTCGAAATAAAGAATAATGATCCTAGGATAAAAATCATTCTTTACAATGTGTCTGTTACTAAAAATTTAAAAAAAAAAACGCAATTCAAAATGAGTTCAAGATAAAAGAAGAAAAGTAAAAAACGCACTTATGAATATGAAGTAAAAATTTGGTGTTAAAAATAAAAATTCCTTAAAATTAGTTATACTAATCCAACGATTTACAAACGCAAAGAAGAAAAAATATAAAAATATGCTTTTAGCTTACATCATATAAAATAATTCTTAAAAAAATATATTTGGTACAGAAAAATATGAAGCAAATTATATTTCAGTGCTGCCATCTGCGAAATAAACACTTTATCATAATAATAATAATAATTGGAAAATTTAAGCAATAAAACCCATGATAGGAAAATAAGTTAATAAAAACTATAAGAAATATGTATATTTGAGTTGTAAAATCATTAAAAAAACATTCAAAGAGGTTATATTTGTAGAACTTACTTACAAACGTAAATTAAGAATAGACCTTTTTATTGGTTTCCTTTGTCTCATAGTGTGACTGTTTATAAATCAGAGCCTACATACATAGATATAAAGCCGTTTATAGAATTCACCCTTCATTCATACATTCTTCCCATCATTCCTTATCCTTCATTTATACAGTAAAGTCTACACGTATTACCAGCATTTGAAATAAATAAATTCGTTTCAAAATATGAGCATTTAAATTAGTCATTTCATACTATGAAAATATCTTTAAAAAATAAATAAATGCTAAATTTTGTTGTGATTCATATTTGGCAACTTATGAGTATCTTGAATAAATATCTACTAATTTAAATGTCTTGAAAATGCAAAGTAATGCAGATATGTACTAGCACTATTCTTGTTTTTGCGAACTTTGGAAGAATGCTCAGGCAATAAGGTGTTTTCCAACCTTTTCATTTTGTATTTATAAAGCAAAGTTTAATAGGAAACTATACTGCCCTACAATAATTGATAGGATAACAAGATGTGACATTTTTAGGAAAGAAAACAGGTGAAAAAAAAACTTAATTTAATAGAGGGTGGTCCTCCATGTTGCCGGTATCATTTTCAATAAATGTTGTCTTGTAATACAAAAATAAGATTTTGGAAAAATCCTTAACATTCTGCTCTTTCTTTCCAAATTTACAAAAACTACTAATAAAATTGTTAGAAACTTAAATTTTCACGATATTCAAATTGGATTTCACACAAAGTTCACACAAAGTTCACACAAAAACTATGATTTTCTGTGTTTGCGCATAATGAAAGGACTACTTTCAATGCTCATATCTTGCGCAATTTGTAACGATTTGTTTTCCAGTATTAAAAAGACCTTTTTGTTAGTAATTAGAAATCGCACCAAAAAATTACCTTATTTTTATTGAATATTTTTGCAATTGAGTACGAAAAACGTAAGGATAAAAATTAGTTTTTTTATAAAATATCTCCATTAATATGTAAACTTTTTTTTCCAATGTCCATCCGACATTCGTAATTCAAGTATCAGAAGGGCAGATATGTTGACCACTCTTTCAGGATCACCATATTAAGCGGGCCGACATTGCTCCCACAATAAGGACAAATAATACAGAGAAGGAAAGAACATCCATGCCTTGCCCGGGATTCGAACCTAGTACCTTTCTGATGTGAGGTTAGCTCCCTTATAAGTATAAAGTTCAATCGGCACTTAATATGAATGCTAGATTTACGAAGTTTTA